AGCCTTCCTGACAGGCATAGAAAGTGAAGTTGGCAAGGTGCCCACCTACCTTGTCTGTCAGAGCTGAATGTCCATTCCCTGTCCCACCCCTCTAAAGCTCAATTTTGGAACAAGTTCCACAGGCCAGACAAGGATCTGTAGAACTAAAAGGCCCATATGTAGGGGGAAAAACCATATTTAACCTGGGATCAGACCTCTGCAGTGGGGGATCTAGCTGATAGAACTCATAATGCTGTGTGCTAAGTACTTTGAAGAGAAGGCCTCTAACACCTTTCAGGTGCTTAGGAGAAACCATTATCTCTAACTGCAGGCTTTAAGTTGAAGGCCAGAGGAAAGAGAATATGGGGCTGGAGAGGCATTTGGAAATAGCCAAGGAAGAGGATTTTCTCTAGCAGAGCTAACTTCTGTTCCAATCACGAACAAAGTTGATTTCCTGTCTAAAGAAGGAATCTTGCTACTCTTAAGGCTTTTTCATGGTGCCTTTATTTTCAAGGAAACTGATGTGAAGGTGGGGATGCATCCCTTGGCTTATAACTCAAAGATGAGGGAGTCTATTGCAAACTCGGAGTGACAGTTTTGCAAGCAGGAAGCTTGCCCTAGCAGAAGCATATTCTATATACCTCATTGGCTGGGCTGGGATTTAGGATATGTTGCAGTACCAGCCACAATCACCAGGCAAAGGAAAAGACATGTAGATAACTCCGGTACCTTCTGCTGCTGTTACCAGCTCCTAAGTCTGACCCATCTCCCATGACCTCATGGCCAAATTGGTTGCACTTGGAACTTCTGAATGCAACATTCGACCAGAACTTTATATTATTCTACACGTTTCCGTGCAGTGGGAACAGCCCCTTCATGCCTTGCTCCTGGGCAACATGATCTGAGGATGGCCTTACTTTCTTCACTATTAGTAAGAAGTTCCTGTGGATTCCAAGAATTCTCCCACTATTTTATTAATTCTGATTTCTGGTTCCTTGTTACTTAAGTTAAAATTTATATTAAAATTTGTCCTGTTCCATAACACACATCAAAAATTCCTATACACAGGGTTTAGGAAGAGATCATGGAAGTGGTTGGCCCTCTCCGAATTCACCAGCACCTCGTCCAGCTCTGGGACAGGAGATTGGGGGGGCTTACTAGATTTCTGTCTTCCTCCCTAGCTTTCTTCTGCTGCCTCATGTCCTGGCCTGACCCCTCTCTAAGGACACTACACCCCCTCCGCTACTCCCAACCTGCTCACAGTGTCCCTAAACCCAGAGGGCAGTCAGCTAGGGTTCTGTCTGGGAGGCCCCCAATTTGGGTAGTTGAGAAGGTGTTTGTAGAACTGTTAGAGCATCACCCCAACAGAAATATTTATTCTAAGTTTTCTAAAAATGGCAGTGTTGTAGCCATCCCAAAAAGTGGGTTTCCTTCAAAGTCCAGCCCATCGTCCTGTGGCCCTTTCCTTAGTGACTCCACCCAGAGAGTCATACTCTGCTCTGAAGGCCTCAGTTCTAACCCTGACCTTCACTGGATTTAGAAGCCCTTCCCGGAGGGTGACAAACCCCACCTGCTCCCAGGCCTTCTGCCCTGGAGGAGTCCAGCTGCAACCCCAGATGCACAGACAGGCTGCCCCCGGCAGCCAGCTTTCCTGTGAGTTCCCTCCTCAGAAAACGGTGTGTGGGTGTTCAGTTCCGTGTCTGGTGACTATGGACAGACAGTGACTTTCCTGTGATCTGTGGTAGCTGTGAGGCAGCTCTGGAATATGATGAGCTGTTTGCTTTGACCCGTGAAGAAAACTGTGTTTTGAGTTTAGCTGAGATTAAAAAAAAAAAAAAAAAAAGGAAAAAAATTTCATCACGTGACTGTTAATGTAAACCTGGTTATTAAAATAACTATAAAATCACAGATGTTGTACAGTCTTTTTTTGTGTGTGTGACATGCTGTTTTACCAAACATATTAAAATTGGACAATAAAACTGAAATGGTTAGGAAGGGGTGCTGAGCTGATGAAAACAGATATCTGGACAAAATTTGGGGGGAGTTCCTATCTTTCCACTTGAGGTTGAGATTTTGTTCAGCTACAATTTGAGGACCTGTATTGAAACTTTGGGGAATGACTATAGTTTGTTTTATTTTTCCCTGTAGATCATCAAATGCAGTGTTAGTGTAAAAGACCTTGCATTTTGGGGTAAATCTGATTCCAGAATAGATCCTGAAAGGTTTGGTTTGTTTGGTTTTGTTTTCTTTTTTTTTAATATTAAATTTTATTTAGTTACTTTTCAAGTACATTTTTTTTAATCTATTTCTCCCATCCCACCCCACCCCCCTGCCCGGTCTCCCCCCTCCCTTCCATTCCCCCCCCCCAGCCCGCCCAGTCCTCATCCCTGTGTCTTTCATACTTGTTCCTCAAAATCCCTCCCCCTTTTTCCCCTTAAGTTCCCTTCCCTCTCCCCTCTGGTCGCTGCCCACTTGTTTCCTTCCTTCCTTTAAAGCTTTGCTTCTTCAAAAACCCGGATTTGGAGAAAACTCAAACTGAGCATGTTTCAAAGAATTGTATATTCTTTAGCAAACTGGTCCCAAGGCATCTCATGAGTGTTGGGAAGGATTATATCTTCTCCTGTGAGAGATTTAATGTGCTGTCATCAAAGCTCTGAGAAATCCTGCATCTTTCAGAATTTGTCTAACTTAAGGTTCTCGAACTCTTTTTTAACTACTTATCATCTTCTAACATTTCACCAAACTCATTATACTAAACCCTTTTGGGGGAAACACTTCTGGGTCTAATTGCAATGTATGCAGGACGCTTTCCATGGCAAATGTTAAGCTAGCATATGTGGAAAACAATTTTTTTAAAGGATAACCGAAAAGTTCAGAGGCTGAATTGAGCAAATCTGTATTAGAATGTTGTTTCCTTTTTAAATGATGATCGCTGTGCAAATTTGCATACCATCCTTGCAGAGGGCCACGCTGACCTTCTCTGTGTCGTTCCGACACAGCATGTGTGCTGCCTAAGCAAGCATGAATGTTGTTTATTTGCATGTGGGAGCACCACTGGCCATCAGCATCTCTTGGTTTTCATTTTACCTGCTTAGTAATTTCAGGGGAAGGAGAGAGACTCCCTCAATAGTTCCAGCCAAAGAGACTGACTCTGATTGGTCTGGTTTAGGTCATGTGTTTTCACCATCAAACTAAACACTGTGGCTGGGAGACTACAGGACTGACTGGCCATACCTGGTCACATGCCCAATCCCTGAGCCACCTGAACCATGTGGACTCTCACTAACTCACAGAAAATTAATTTGTGAGACCAGAAGAGGGGATGGCTGCTGGGAAGGCAAAAACAGCAGGCCGCCCCACCTCTGGTCTCAGGCCTGCAGGGCACAAATACAAATGCTTTGCTCAGCAAAGTGTCTGTGATTAGGCTGGAGCAGGTAGAGAATGGATGGCATGGTAATTTCTTCTTTTTTTAAGTTTTTTTTAGAGAGAGGGGAAGGGAAAGAGAAATAAGGGGAGAAAAATAATTGATCTATTGCCTCTTTTACCTGCCCTTACTAGGGACTAAATCCACAACCTAAGCATGTGCTCTGACTGGGAATTGAACTGGCAACCTTCACTTTGTGGGATGATGCCTAACTGAGTCACACTGGTCCGGGCTGGGAGGTAATTTCTGATGAATTGCTTTGTGTGTGATGAAGCCCTCTTGGTTTGGTAGACTGATGCCATCAGTATAGGAGCACAGGACAATGATGCCTTTTAGCACAGGAGCTCAGAAACCATATTATAAGTGACTCTGTGCTTATAAAGAATTATTTCAGCTTGAGGTTCAAGGTCTGATGACTAATGAGCTTTGGCCCATTGTCCCATTTTCTGGCTCAAACTCAGAACTGGAGAAACACCTCTCCCTGTTCATGACCAAGGTAGCAACTGAGCCCTGTTTAGGATGAGCATGGGTTTAAAGGTCACAGTCAATGCCTAACATGAACTCAGGTTTCAAAGCTCTAAAAGGGATGAAGCAGTCTTTAAAAGAATGTTACTGAAATTTGCACACAGACTAACTTTCACATGTCTACGGGCTGGAGGTCTTCTCGGCTGAGTCACATTGACCCAGGAGGGGAGAGAAAACACTGGATAGGAGTAACAGGGTTCCTCTGGTTTCAAAGAACTTCCTGGAATCAGCTCTGCTGCCATCAAGCCATCCCAACGGGAATACTAACAATGAAGAGGAAGTGGGGGTGACAGGGCCAAAGCAACCTGTAGAATTGACATCTCAGGCTGGTGCTCCAGACTCTGAAGAGGTTGGGGTGCTGCCCTGTGGTCCAGTGGCTGCTGAGCATATGATAGGTGACTTCACACGCCCCAGACAACAGGGCACTCAGCACACAGGACTTAAGAGCCCCCAAGACCCACAGGAGCCTCTGCTTCAGGACAAGCCCAGGACACCACCCAGCCTTCTGGCTAAGCTATATTGGATCTGAAGTCCCCTTTATTCTCTCCTAAGGACCAAGCTGCTTCAAGCTGCAGGTGTTCAGAGCTGCAGTCTTTTTCCTGTCCCAGAGGATGGGCCTTGGAACATCTACCTGCTCCTGTGGCAGATGGGATACAGCAGAAATGAGATATTCAGGGATAGGAAGGCAAGAGTGCTAGGAAAAGGTGTACGGTAGTCTGTGGACTTACAGTGCAAAGCAAAACCTGGAATCCTGGTTTGTGTACCATAAGGTGTGGATGCTAGAAGGGTCAGGGGTTTAGTTTTTATACATGGGGATTAGTTAAATTGTGTTGCATCTCGTAGTTTATAGGATACCACCTCTAATCACCAGCTTGGGTGGTAACAAACATTCCTCATAGCAGGAAAGGTACAAACAGGTAACTCTGGGCATCGCAACCCTTCCTCTAGAAAAAATCATCACACACAGAGACACACTGACATTGGAGATGCTGCAGCCAAACAGACCGTGAGCTTCCTTCCCATCCAACGGCCACCAGTTCGCAACAGCACAGATAACTGATTGGGAGGGTTAACATCAATATTTACTGTCAGACATGCTGAGCTTGTAAGAAGCAGTAATTACAGGCAAACGGAGTAGGAAACAGGACTTTGTGTAGACATAATGCAAGGACAACTGGGCACTGAAACAAGCCCACTATGCTTTTCATGCCTTTTTGTTCAGCTTTGGAAGAACTGAAGCCCTAGCATTTCTGCATCAGCCCCAAGGGCCACACTGGCCCCTGCTGGCCATGTTCATTCTCTAGTTATTCATTTATTCATCCTTTCAATCTAGACAACCTATGACAATCTAAGTCTAGTCATTTCTGGTTAAAACTTTCCCATCATAAGAAGACTAACCACTAAATTAACTTAATTTAGCAAGGCTCTGGGCTGCTTGCCATTTATTCCTGCCATAGCAGTGGCCTCAGCTCAAACCAGTGCTTCTATCCAGGTGTGTTTGCCATTAGCAGAGCATTCTCTTCCAGAGTTAGGGCTGTGGCCAGTGTCACCGGGCCCCACTGCCCTGCCCATCCACTAGAGGGCACTGTGAATGTGGCAGGGTGGGTGGCCAGCTGCAGTGCTAGTGTTATAACCAGGAGGCTTCTAGTGTTCAAAACCTGCTCAGACTTTTTTGATGCTCCACATGGATAAGGGAAAAAGCTGCTCAGAGGAAAGGATTCCAGGAACACCAGACAGGAAAATGCAGCAGTCACCTCGTTTTCTAAAATTCTTAGCCCTGAGCCTCGTTTGTCTGAATCTAGATGAGACATGTTCCACATGGTAGGGTAGTAACTTTAAGCCAAAGTTATGGGCGGGGAATGATCTGTTTTCAATGAGTAGCAATTATGGTAAGTATTTAGGCATCCTTTTAGTTTTTGGAAAACTTATTTGTCCAAATGTTTAAAATATACAATGGTGGGAGGTGTTTATAATCAGTTGTTCTCCACTGACAGACACAAAACTTGTTTTCTTTCCCTAACTGAACACACACCCCAGGTGTGTGACCTGCATAGGTTGGGGAAGCCCTGTCACCTCTCTGAGGCTTTGTTGTCTGGTCCATCTGCAGCTCCTGAATGCCCACAGGGGTGCTTCAGGTATGGATACAGTCACTGGAAATAAAAACTAGGGATTCAAACCACAGGGATTACCTTGGGTTCCTGTTCCATTAGAGACTGTAGATGTGAAATGGCATGAATGATTAGCTCCCTCCTGCATGCACAGCACATCAAGGCTTGAATCAAGACAAAGTGAAAGATGGAAGTTGGCAAACACCAAGTGGCCCCTGACTCCCTGGAGCAGATTCTGGTCATCTCGTCACCCCATCTCCCTCTTTGTGAAATTGAGTCCGGCAAACTTAGAATTTATAATGTTTGGAGAAACAACAAAATAGCATAGATAATGTGTGGAAAATGTAGAGAAAAGGAATAAAAACAGAACAAAGGAGCTGGCTTTAATCTTTAACAAAAGTATGTTTGCTCCTGAGTCAGTAGACACTTCCACAGGTCTGCCAGAAATTCTGGGCCTATCAGCCTAGTGCAGAGACTGCTGTGAATGCAGAGTTTAAAGTCCACATGCCCTTTACCCATGCTGAGGTGCCCTCCTGCAAATGTCCTCTGGCAAAGTCTGGTGCAGCAGGTGGCTGCATCTGTTACTTCTGCCTTACTGTCTGGTTTCCCAGATGGGCCAGTCTAAGCTCCCCAGCTTTCTGCCATCTTGCTGAGGCCCACACTCTCCATAGAGAAGGTCAAGGTTTAGGTGATCTGAGGGGTTAAACCAGCCCACCACCAAGACTATTCACTTCTTGACTCTCTACCCAGTGGTCCCCATAGGTGTCCCCAAATAGTCCCTCTGCCTGCAAAGATACTCAGGATAGTGGAGATGTATTACATACACCTCTCCCTTAGGTGAATTAAACTTGGTGTTTTCCTAATAAATAAAATATAAAGGAAGATGGTGAGACATTCATCAAACTTTAAGTAATAGGCAATTCTGCCTGGCCATCCTTGAAGCAAGCACAAGGCAGGGAGCCAAGGCAGCACTGTTCCCTGAGCTCCATGACTCCAACCCCTTGGATGTGTGAATTCTGCTCTATAAAAGCATGTGTGAGTTGTCCAACAACTTAATCCATCTGATATCAGCCAATAATAAAAGCAAAAAAAAAAAAATCAAAGTGAACCAAGAACAGTGACTTGTGTCATCGGTGACATGGGTGGCTCACTGTCCTGGGCTTCACCAAGACAAGATGCCCACCAGATGTTATGGGTAATTGCAGGGAATTTTCAAGGGTAAGTTTTACTCTCACTCAAGTTTGTCTCACACTCTAACTTAGCCTGTAACTCCTGTGTGAGACACATCAATGTACAACAAGGTGGATATGCTTCCAATGTGACAAAAATCTTTCCTGATTCCACATGCAGGTCTCTAATCATCTTAAAAGGACAATTAGCTCTCAAGGAACATGAGTGTTAGAAGAAAACAAGTGGTGTGCTAACAGATATTTAACAACTGGCTTCTGGGTGTGGGGGGTGGAAAGCCCTGCTTTGTGGCATTTGGTGTAAATGCCCCATTGTCACAAATTTCCACTTCCCAACCTCACATCACTGCACAGGGCATTGGGGCAGATGTGCACAGCAGGCTGTTGCTAGCTGGGACAAGTTGATGTGGTATGTCGCTGGAAGGCCTGGGTGAATCTGTGTTGCTTTAATCTGCTCCAATTCATGTCTTCTTGACTAAATTTCTTAGTTCTATACAATTGGGCTTGGGGGCTGTGACCTCTTTATGAAGTCCCCTATCTCTGAAGAGCAGCCCTCTGTCACGCCCTAAACACCTCCCTCAGTCCCTCAACCATGTCTATTTGTCCACTAGCGCATCGAGCAGAGTGGAAAAATAAATCTACATCCAAATATCCATTTGCAATAAAAAATAAATGCAGTTTAGGATAGAGTGATTGCAATAAAAAGGCAGAGCAGAGCTCACCTAGCATAACCTCTCATTTTAGAAGAAGAAACTGAAGCAGAGAAAGTGATTAAGTGACTAGCTCGAGGTTGGTTCATTAGTGTTGTGACTATTTTCCGGGAGCCCAGGAAAGTCTTCTCTGTATCATGCTGCCACCTTCCAAAGACAGGTGCTCACAATTTCTAAGGTGAGTGAGGTGCACGGAGAGGAGTCTGCCTGTCCTGCTGTGGAAGTCAGAACCTGCGGGCCAAGGTGCCAGGAAATGTCCCAAGAAGAAGATGCTGACAACTTTCACAGATTGTTATTCTGGCTGTTCTCTTCTTGTGAGTCTTTGGTTTATGAGTCCAAGGTTAGATTTGCTTGTCTTTTATTAAAATCCCTTTTTACTCTTAAAAAGGAAAAAAAAGAAAAGAAAGAGGGTTAATTCACCAAAAAGAGATTTAAGCTTTGAAGTGATAGCATTATGTCCCACAATTTATAAAGCAGTCAGAGAAAACTTAAAAACAATCTCGGTTTTAAATGTGTAAGTCCTCACTTCTCTGCCTTCCCATCAACAGAAACTTGGAGCTCATTTACCTAGTACAATCTTTGAAATATCTTACAAGAAAAAGACGTTTCTGAAATTTTCAAATATTCTATCACAGACAGACATCATTTTTGTAATCAGGATGAGAAAATGTTAAAAATATATTAAGCCTTTGCAATTAAAGTCTAGCAGAAACACTATCATTTGCAGGGCAGCTGTGCTTCCAGGAGCTACTTACTTTTCTCTGTTGAAAATGAGGAACTCCTTTTGCACAGATTCAAGGTGATCTTGAAGAAGGCATGTCTTTCAGGTGCACATTGGGAAACAAACAGAATTAGAGTAAGCAGATCAATCAGGATCCTCAGGAGTCAATAACCCATTGAATGGCCCAAATAGAAGACTACATCTTCAAAATAGATGCTATCTTAGAGTTTGTAGCAGGAATGAGACACCAACCAGAAAAGAGAAGCAAACAGGGAAGAAATAGCAAGAGGATATAAGACATCAGCCCTCTGCTCCCCACTAGGAAGACTTGGGTTATGGTTTATGAGCTCAATGTCTTTCCTGAGAAGAAATGATAGCTTCCAGATGGGTGGGGACAAGGGTTTTATCAAACTGGTTACTTATGCTGGTTTATCATCTGCTGGCCCTCATGTGAAAGGTTTGGAGGTTCTGTGGGAATGTAACAAAGAGCCTAAAAACATCTCTTTGCACTGAGCTCTTACAGAACATTCCCCTTCATAACTGGGTTGGTGAACTAGACTTTGGGGGTCAGGAACAGAGCTGTCTTTATTTGTGACTTTCTCACAGACACGCACATCATTTGCTCTATTTCGCTGTCTGGCTTTCAACACCTACCAATGACTCTGCCATCATGAGAAAACTTAACCTCAAAAAAATGATGCTCAGGCCCAGGACAGTGGCTGCTCCAGATCCAAGGCTTTAGAAGTCTGCAATGAAGTACTTCCAAATCACTCCAAATGAAAAACTTTCTTTTCTAAGAAAAAATATCATTCATTCATTTTTAAAAATCTAGGAATTAGAAAATGCTCCGTCCTTGAATACTGGATAGTTTTCTCTCTTCTCTGAGTGGAAATTTCAGAGCAGGAGGGAGGGAAGCAAAACAAAGATGCCATGGAAGATGTCCCATAATGGAACTTGACCTGGCAACTCTAAGAACATCAATGCCCAGGTTCCACTGTCCAGTTATAAAGTTTTCTTTCTTTCTTTTAATGTATTAAACCACTTATTAAGATTGGGGTACCTTGAAGATAATGGTGGATAAGACCAAACTGGTCTTCATGCAAAAGAAGCCTTCAATTTATTGGGTGGAAGAAAAACAGACATATAAAATGTTTATAAATTATATTCACATCATGAAGGAATTAAAAATAGGGGATAAGCAGGGGACAGTGATGGGACTTCATCTTCGACAGGTGTCATTAGGGTGGAAAGGATGAGATGAAGTCTCTTAGGGGAAGATCCAAGAGAACATTCAGGAAAAAGGAAGAGCAAGGGTCTGGAAGAAAAACAAAACCTCTAGTGCCTGAGGCTCAGACCCTGGCAGGGCCTATGTGGCTGGAGGGCGAGGATGGCAGAGTACAGGGGTGGGTGAAAAAGTAGATCATGGAGAGCCCAAGAGGCATGGAAAACTGTGATTTGCAAGTTGTTGCTGTCTCTAAAGCTTTAGAGAATGTATAACAAAAAGGATATTTTGGTTTTTGCTATATTTGGGGGCTTCTATCCAGTTTGAGTCACGCCGTGTAGGGACATAGAGGGGGTAAGTCTAGAGAAGCCAGTTGGTGAGGATATGAAGAACAGATCACGAGAAGGGAGACAGATGAAGTGAAAGGAAACGAGCAAGATGGGTTTGTGGCACAGCTAAGCATCTTTTGCAGGGCCTCAGAAGACAGTTAAGACTGGGAATCTGGTGAAAGGCCAGCCTATGGACAAACAGGATGTGGAGTTCGGCTGAACATCAAAGGGTATAGTGGTTCCTGAGGATTAGGAAAATGAAGGAAGTGGTGCGTTCTTATTTGTTTGCAGAATTATCTTCACCACAAGACTAGACAATCTTTGAGAACAGGAATGGCATTGAATGCAGAAATAATATCCATAACTATCTCTGGCATTTAACATACGATCTGGTAGATAATAGGCTCTCACTAAAAATAGCCTAAATAAATGAATGGATGGAGGGGTGGATTACCACTAGTTGAATGGGTAGGTGGATGAATGGATGGATAAATGCATGTGTGGATGAGTGATCATTAGAAGCACAGTGAATGCTTATAATACATAGAATTACATGTATAAAATCCTATTGAGTCCCTGTAAGTTACTGTATTAAGATCTGAGCTCAAACAAAATAATATTGTTACAAATTAGTTCAGCCTAAAATCCAAAATCCAAAATTAGTGCTTGATCATATAAGAATTCCATCACTTCTGCTCGCTACTGCTAATCCTGGTATCATGAAATTGGGCTTGTAGCAAAGAGCAGGCACCATTTCCATGTCTGGCTGGTCCCAGTGAGAGTGAGGCCCCAAGCAGCCATGGGTGTACAAGCAGACCTCACAGATATTGTGGGCTTAGATCCAGATTGCCTTGGTAAAGTGAGTGCCGCAATAAGGCGAGTGCTGCAATAAACCGAGTTGTGATTTTTTCTTTCTGACGGAGGGTCTTGCCTTCAATATGTAAAAAGTACAACATCAAAGCAAAGGGCAAGAAAATGAGGTATGCCTGTAATTGGAGATATGCCTACTGAGCATTGATTTCGGAGTAGTCACCTGGCCTAGGTTTGGCCAATTAGAGTCTGTCCCAGGAAACTGACAATTTTGAATTGAGAGCTGGGAGAAGGTAATAACGGAATCAACAGAGCCAGAAAGCCCACCGTGAAACGTTGCTGCTAGGATGCCCGGGGCCACCGAGGAGTTCGGCTCTTTTGGGTGCTCACGCAGTAGCGAGGGCTGGCGCTGAGACAGCCTCCTAGCAGAAGCTCCCAAAGGACTCGCAGCTACACCTGCTCACCTGAGAGGAATCACATTTCCTCATTTCCTTCTCCTTCTTGGCCAGCCGCTTTTTTTTCTTGTGAAGAGGTTTGGACTCCAAAATCATTTCTTCAAGTTCAAAAGTGGGGTCGCAGTTCAGCCTGCCTTTCTGCAAGAAGGACAGGTCGGGTCACTCCTTAGCATGTAAGGGAGCCAAAGCCCAAGGACAGCAAGCAGGGCTCCGCTCTGGTTTCCGGGGGGAGGTGCCCCTGCACTGTTTTTCCCACTCTTGACTTTTATACTTTATTTTTCTCAACTCCCCATGGGCCTTCCATGAGTTGAAAAGAAATCAAACGACAATTATTTTTCTGAATTTTGAGTTTTTGGGTTCTGTGTCTCAGATTATGTTCTAACAATCACGTAGTTAGAATCATTTGGGTGGTTTGCTCAGCTTCCCAGTTCCCCAACCAGGTTTCCCGAATTGGTGATTCTGAACACAAGGCCCAGGAAACTGCACATGTGACACGTAATTCTCCCCAAGTGATTCTGCTGCACACTGAAGTGTGAACCATGCCAGAGTGTCTCTGGGATCAGCACTGGGGGGCACGGTCAGGGGGATGGGGTGTGGAAGCAGCAGGAAGCACTAGCTCTCCGCAGGGTCACGCATCAACCTAAAGCAAACTGCCCCTGCTGGATCCTGCCGAGTGTCCAGGCAAGCCCTGGACCACACCTGCTGGTCACTCCCCACAGGAGAGAGCTCCTCCACCCCAAAATTCCAGCACAGCGCTGTCTCACTGTGCACTGACCCAGATGCCGGCTTCTTCCAGGTCTCTGCCGGAGGCCACAGCTGTCGCCTGGCCAGGGACTCATCCAGTGGGAATTACTTCCCTTTGGGGTCTTGGTCATTGCGAATGTAAGAGGGATGAGTGGTAAAAGTAAGTGCCTCGTCCCCACCACAAGTTTTCAGTCCTTCGACTCCTAGAACACCAAGCAATACAAATTCCTACATCTTTGAGATCAGAGAAAACATTGCTTTTTCAAAAACTGGCAGATTCCTGGCTAGGACAACAGTAGGTCCTTGAGGTTTTATTTTATTATAATGTTGAGGAGATGTGTAAGAACTTCTTGTTTATATCAATCAGCCAGGGGTTAAACTGGTTTCATTCTATGTTGTTTCTCTTGAAGTCACATAACCTACTGACAATGTTAGGTGAAAACTATGTAATAGGAGGATTAGGGCTTTTCTTTAAAAACAAGTATGCTACAAAAAAATGGTTAGGCCCTGGCTGGGGAGCTCAGCTGATTGGAGCATCCTCTCATACACCAAAAAGTTGAGGGTTCAATCCTCATCAGAACACATACGTAGGTTATGGGTTTGATCGCTGGTGGCGGTGTGCATGGGAGGCAACTGATCAATGTTTCTCACATAGATGTTTCTCCCCCTCTCTCTCTCCCTCTCTCTCTCTCATCAATGAACATATCCTCCGGTGAGGATGTTTTTAAAAAAATAGCTAGAAGCAAAACCTCTAGACACAGATAGGCCTAGACTAGTATTCTAACTCAGCTGCTTGCTAGCCATGTGACCCTCTGGTGGCCAAGTTTCCTGCGTGAGCCTCAGTTTTCTCATCTGTAAGATAGGAGCTTGGCTGTTGTCCAAGAACGGTGCGGTGAGCTAACGAGCCCAGGTGTGCATCTGGCATGCAGGATTACATGCACAGAATGGGAGTTATTATGGGTTTGTTAGGACTGACTTACACTGGGGATGAAACCTGGAATGAGTCTTTTCTGCAGAACTGCATCCCAGTTCACGTCATTCATGTGTGGGAAGTTTTGAACATCTGATAGGCGAGAAAACCGTTGGTCTGGATTGGGTTCCAGTAGCTACCGATGGAACAGAAACATTAAGATCATAAGGAAGTTGAAATTGAGGCAAAGAAAATCATACAAATTCCCTCTATTTTCAAGTGTAAGACTGAAGGAACTAAGGCCATATTCCCATTTATGACTCGATAAGTGATAATACAGATAATGGCCAGTTAGAATAAATTGTAAGTTGGTTTTTGCAAGGTAGGGCAGGAAACCAGCTGTCCCATTGAGTCAACGGTATCTTTGATGGCTGATTCCCCTCCTTGCTAACTATGGGCATGTTTGTTCTCTACATCTCAGATTACCCACCTGTAAAAAGAGGATAATGACCTATTTCATGAGGCTGCAGCTAGGAGTAAAAATGAGGCCATATAAATAAAATGCTTAAAAGAAGGGCTGTTCTTATTAGGTGACAAATGTGCATGCATTTTACAAATGAAATTCATTTCCCACTTAAAATTTTAGCCATTTTTACAATTAACCAAAATATACTGGGGCTGACATAAAGAAGCTCTCACTAAGGGCACTATTATAGTTCTGAGTTTTATGAATGGGGATTAAAGATTTGTTCACTCCTAATCCCTCCAGAGCCAAAATCATCACATCAACCCTGTGGCTCAAATGGGAAATGTCACTTCCAGGGGAGAACTGTCCTGGAGGTGAACCCTGGGACCACTAGGGTAGAATTTGGGGGTGAAGAGGGCTGTCTGGGAACTGAGGAAAATCCACTCACAGAAGTGACTGCCCTACTCATCTTTGGCATTCCCAATGGCAATGTTCCTATTCCAAACCAAGGAACTTGACCCCCAAGACAAGAGTCACAGGTTTGTACTTGAGAAGAATGTCTAGTCTGCTGCTTTGGAATGGAATGTTCTATAAATGTCAATTAAGTCCATCTGATCTAGTGGGTTGCTTAAGGTCACTCTTTCCTCATTGTTTTTTTATCTGGATGACTATCCATGGATGACAGTGGGGTGCTGAAGTCCCTATCAGGACACAGACAACAGTGTGGTAATGGCCAGAGGGAAGTGGGGGCAGGGCCTGTGTGGAGGTGGGCAAAAAGAGTGGATACTACCTGTGATAATGTCAGTAACAAAAATCAATTTAAAAACACAGACACAGGTTTGAATCCTTATCCTCAGAAGCTCTCTTCCCTGAGCAACCACCACCTGTGTAATTTTCTCTCTTGAAAAAAAAAAGACAATCAATCCCCTTGGGATCCAGATTCCTCCTCTCATGTAATCCCTCCACGCACACTAGTCAGCTCCTGCTACAATGGTTCCTAATCTTTTAGTGAACGTGGGCCCTCGGAAAATCCAACAATGGACCCTGAAAACAACGGACCCTGTTAATCCAAATACCAAATTTCACCACCTGTCAGGCTCTGTGCTAGATGCTGAGGACACACTGTTGGGCGAGTCAGACAGGGCCCCTTGTACAGCTTAGAAGGCAACACTCATTAACCCATCCCTGGTGATGGGGGGAACACTATGGAGGAAAGGTCGTGCTGTGTGAGCTGACCACGGAGGGAGGCCTCCCAAGGACGTACTGTCTGAGCTGAGACCTAAAGCTGCTCTTATTAAACCACACAGAAGGGCCAGCTATTTGTTCACTCCTTTGTTTTAATTTCCCAACCACCAAAACCAACGCGTAGTATTCATGTGCACGGCTCCCCTTACCACATGGAGTTGGACCTGATTTGAATGCAACATCTCCAAAGAGGCCTGTGCCCTGTTCAGTGAGATGAGTGCATTGACAATGTGCTTAGAGGCATCAGCAATATCACCTTGCTAAACATTTTCCTAAATGTTTCTCTCAAGTTCTGTATTTGTCATGAATTTAGAAGAAACAATTCATGGGCTTGAGCCAATCAGCAAACCACTGAACAGTACTGGTCTGAAGCAGAGGGGGGCTGGAAGAGTTGAGGGGGTAGTGTTGTAGGCAGAGAGATGAGCTATGCAAAGGGACTGTTGTGAGAGACTGATGTGTGAGGATGAGGAGGGGAGGGGAAACAAAACAGAGAAATACTAAAGCAGCTTATGTGTAATCAAAGGCAGAAAAAGGTCCAAACTAAGGCTTGAGAGGCAGTTATAACCTTCATATCCTACAAATTATTTTGATTTTTACACTAAGGACAGTGGGAGGACAGCAAACTTTGCTTGGAACAGATCACTGTGGAGCAGAATGGAGACCACAGTGGACTGTGTAGAGTACACAGCAACGAACCAGTGATAAGACCCGATGACAGCAGCAACGGGGAGACAGCAGTGGCAATGGAGAGAAGTGACAGATTCAAGGAATATTGAAAAGGTCAAACTGCAGAACCTGGTGATGGATTGGATATGGGTGTGATGAACAGTTTCTGGTTTCTGGCTTGTGTAAGTGAATGGATGGAAAGTCCAGTCCCTGAGACAGGGGAGCTCAGAGAAAGTGTAGGCAACGCAGAGAGCAAGCGCTCCATGTTGGGCACACATAGCTGGGTTGGCTTTGAGACATGCAAAGCCTTAAAGGGCTTTGGGCATTCTCAAATAAGCCATGCATTTGAAAGCTGTGGTCTGCAAAGCCCACTTTGGAAATGTACACTATCGTGACTGCCTCCAACGTTGCATCCCAACCACTAACCCAAGGGCATGCTTCCTTTTCACTGCTTTCCTTTGTCACACAATCCTCCTCCTTACCTTTTTAAGAAGTGACACCATTTCCTGTGACCAGGCAGAAGGGTAGGTCACAATAGCTGTCTCAAACATGTGAGCGATTTCTTTGCTGGAAGTACTGGAGCGAATGTGATAGGGTCTCTTAAGAGAGAGAGGAAGGAAGAGGCTTCATGTTTATAGTGTAAAAGAGAGAATGTTGCTTCACAAATGTTTCCAAGTTAAATTTTCAGCCCATAAAAATCTCAGCATCACTTTCTCATCCTTTCTGATATAGGCATAAATGGTCCAGTGTTGCCAGATATCCCACTTTATAAAAAAAATCACCAGAAAAATCTACAGTTTCTTTTAAAATCTCAGAGTTTTTAAAAGTTGGTGATTTCCCTAGGCCAAACAAAATATTTCTGGGGGCTAAATCCCCCTCTGAGAGCTAATTTGGAACTGTTTTGTAAGGTAACTTATAGCCATATTCTCACAAACTATTGGACACGTGTCAGTAAGTTGAAGTTTTAAACAAGTGTTATTTAGTTTGATTCTAAAGAGATCCAGAGTTTTATTACATATCTCTTTTCACTTGTTTGAATCATGATGAATACATTCAGGGTGGAAAGTTACCCAGAAGGCTTCAACCCTGTCCTGAATGTTATGAGTCCCTGGTTCTCTGGAGTGGGGTGGCAAGTTTTATGATGAGGCAAAAGTACTTTAGTTCAGCAAGAACCAGGTTCTTTTATAGTTTTACTTTGCAGCAGGGAAGAGGGGGGCTTTATACAGTTTTCATAAATTTCCACTAGAGGGCAACCTTTATCCATAGTAATTCTGTTATTCAGGCATCGCCGTGGGTTTTACCTCTTTTATGTGAACAGGGAGCTAACTACTAAAACAAAACAAAACAGGATTATACCATATTCACATTTTGCCAATGGCACCTAGTACCTAGTAGGTGCTCATTACCTGTTTATAGAATGAACAAAATCCCTGTATTGGATTAACCGGCAACAGGGCTGTTAATACATGTATTGAGCAAGTGTCTGGCCCTTTTCAGATACTTAGTAAATGACTGCAGACTGATGAAATAATTGGAAGAAGTGGAGGAGTTTATTTTTTTCTCTGGTGTACATCAGTATTAAAAGGCAATATGATTAAGTGTTTGAGGTCTGAAGGCAAAAGCATTGGAGGCCTAAACAGGGGTCCCTTGATTTGAGTTCTGGTTCCTTCTTCTGTAAAATGAACTGCCTCATGAGACCGTTGGGAAAATTGAACCACACACACAGAGCTCACAGGAGCATGGCTAATGCATGTTAGCCACATTACAGGAGAGAGACTTCTATTGTTACTGACACAGGGTGGAAAAGGTGGATGGGAAGGTGAACAGTGAACAGCAAGATGAATCGGTAGAAAGGTGAAGAAAAGCTTAACACTCCATGTGGCATTTCAGTGTCAGTGACTCAGGGAACCAAGAGATGCTAGGAGTTGACTTCCTAAAAATAAACTGGCAAAACTTAATTTTTTTAATGCAAAGTGCACAATCACCTGGCATGTATTTTCCTTCCTCAAGACTAAATAAAGGACCACCACTAATTCTGGTCTCAGTGACCCTACAGTGCAAACAACCCATGTAACTCAGTGTTGGAAAAGCACAGCAAGGTACCTGATCATTGTTACCAGTGTTTGCTGACTGTTCACCAGCAAGGGCACTGCGGTCACTGCATGAGACTCATTCCAAGGATTTGGTTAAGTTTTATTTTGCAGCAGGGAAGAGGGGAGCTTTATTACAGTTTTTATAAATGTCCACTAGAGGACAGCCTTTACCCATAGTAATTCTGTTATTCAGGAATCTTTTTGTGAACATACAAGATCAAACCCAGGTTAGGGCAGGCTGGGTGTTCTAAGGGTCCAGGGTTACATGCGTGTGCATGGACATTTTTTCTAATTCCCTTCTTTGACTCATTGCTATTGCTTAACCTACTGTTTCTTAATCATCTAAAAACACAAAATGATTTGATAAATGAATAATTAAGTAATGAACACCACAGGCAACTGGCTTAAGAGTGCTTTCATTTACTTAAAAGGTCATGTGACTGACTTTTAATATTTTTTTAAAAAATCCTCATGGAATATGGACTTATTAAAAATAGTCAAACTGCCTTTTTCTTATACAATGACTTATTTCTCTCATTCCATATTAATTCATCAACTACTAGAATTACATTTTTACTCACCAAACATTTAATAAATGCCTATATGTTCCAGTACCTCTACTGGGCACTGGGGATGGAGAACAATGAAGAACAAGGCAGATGTGAGTTCTGTGTTGGTGATACGCTTATAGTCTCCTCAGCAAAACCACACCTAGTTACAAAGACTGCACAGACACACTTCAACAAATGGAATTCATGCCCCAAGGAAAAATTACAGTGAACAGGACAGGATACAAAGAAAACAATTATATTAAGAGTGAAGTATAAAGAATGGACAAAGTGGAAAGGGTAAAATGTAGATGGGAGGAAGTGCTACTTTGTGATTATATCATCTTTGAGGAGTACAAAAGCAAGAACTGCAGCTAGGAATGTGTCCTTGTGCAAACCTCCCTGTGTTCCTATGACAAGCTAACACTTATGGGTAATATAAAACTAGAGAAGCCATGGGCCTTGCCTTTACAATGACAACGACAGCTGGGAGATAGAGATGACTAAGCAGGTCCATGGCTACGGGACCCATTCATCAAGCTGTGATCAAGGTTGGAAACCACAGGGATGTTCCAAGCACATTTGTGAATGTGCAGAAATCATTGTTCCACCTGCTTTCTCTATGGTGCAGTCATGTTGATGGTAACCATTAAATGCTGTGTTTCACTTCTTCAGATTAGCTCTATTCTGTAGCATAATTACATGTGTCCTGCTTGGTGATTCTTCCCTGGCATATGTCAGAATTGATTTGCAGTGACCTATTCCTCTGTTCATTCAATAACAAATATATGCACTTAGTTGAAGATAGACACTGTGGCTATTATTAAAGTATGTAAGATACATAATTCACCTTTAACCAATTCGATTTCATCATCTACAAGGGATAAAAACATAAAAAAGTAGAGAACAGGCTGACAATGACCAGAGAAGAGAGGGGAGGGAATTTCAGGAGAAAAGGGGAAGGATTTACAGGAACAAGTATAAAAAACACATGGACAAAAACTAAGGGGGGTGGAAATGGGAGGGAAGTGGGGAGCACTGGGGGGTGCTGGGATGGGAGTAAAAGAAAGAGAACTGTACTTGAACAATAATTAAAATAAAAAAACATAAAAGAATATACCTGGAAAAATTTACAATGGGTAATATATTTACAAACTGGATTTAATCCTAAAACATTAAAACAAATTTTGGTGTTCTGATGTAGAATGTGCTACATCTTAAGTGAAAAAAAATTCAACAGAAAGATAAAGCATGTTGTTGTTTTGCTAAAACAATAGCAATAACGTGTGTGTGTGTGTGTGTGTGTGTGTGTGTGTGTGTGTGTGTGTGAAAACGGATTATCCTTATAAGAACAGGAAAGGTTTGGAATTGAGTATAGCCAGCTGTTAATTTTGAAAGGCAAGATTGGAAGATCAAAGGAGGATTTAATGTTTTAATTGGGACTATTCTTTATCTATAGTTGATTTTACCTTCATTTTTATGCTTCTCTGTATTTTCCAATAATTTTAAATTCAGAAGAGTCATAAGAGAAAAAAGTGCATAAATATTTGGAGGAGATATAGATCACTTTCACTAGAGATCAGGAAAGTTTCTTCCAAGAAGGGGCCAGGGTGTCAGAGGCCCAAGAAGGGGTAGGAACTGAGTAGGAGACCTGGAGAAGGGCCTTCCCCACAGGAAAATCTGGGAAGTCTAATGGCTTGTCTTTTGTCAGAAATGATCCATATACAATAGAAAGATTCCGAAAGGTCCTCAGTTAAGGCACATCCTTAACTTTATTCAAATTCAATTTAGCAATTACCAAACTAATTTGACAGTGATTTTAAAAGGAGATCCAGGTTTACTTTAAGAAATATCTTTAGAGGCAAAAGGTTAAAAAAAAAAAAGGCCCAAAATGCCTCAAGAGAGGAAGGGACCCAGGGAGGCCAAAGTGGCTTGAGTCTGGGTCATTCAAGCTGAAGCAAAATCTGAAAAACTAATCTGGTTCTAAAGGACAGAGAATGCCAAGCAAAGACATTAGAAGATTGTCTCTGTTTTGGGGAGATGGGGGGAGTCATGTGAAGGGTGTGTGTGTGTATGTGTGTGTGTGTGAATAGGTGAAGCATTGGGAGCAGCAGCATTTTTGTATGTGTGTGGAAGTTCACATCTGTTGGGAACCTCTCTGCCTGGTTTCAGGAATTGTAACTACGCCCCATGGCTAAGGATGAGTGAGCAACCTCCAGAATATGAGCCAGAATGAGACAAAGCTTGTCTCTGCTTCATCCCCCTTCCCCCAAAGCATGGTCGGTTAGTCCATGATGGGTAAGACCCCTCAGAGGAGGGACAACCTAAACTAGACACAATCACTTGGGAGGCCATTATGGAAAGACTCGGGGGTCTGCAACAAAGAGGGAGTGACGGACCCTCGCCCCCCAGCTATTCTGACATAGCCCGGTCCCCATGTCCTCTGGGAGAAGCACTTCTTGGCTCTAATCCACTTAAGCCTGAAAACCTGTGATGGGGGAGGCAGTGCAGCCCCTTGCCAGCTAGACTGGGATCCGGGGTGATCTGGCATAAGAAAGAGTTCCTAAAAGTCCTGTGAAGCCTGCTTTGCTAAGAGTGCTTTCATTCATATAAGGGTCCGAGCAGAAAATGAGTATGTCTCCCAAAGTTTCTGCAACCCCCTTTCCTGACAGACACTGACTCAGACTAAGTCCTCAGATTTCTTTGAAATGGTATCTACTGTTTGATCCTTGCCACCTGTATTCCTGTGTATTACAACCCCATAAAAGCCCCTGGAGGAAGGGGCTCCTGGCCTTTTTCCCCTGAGAAACTGGCCACCTCTCCTCCCCAAGCAGATATGTCTTGGTAGTGTTACTTTCATCTGTGGTGGATGGGGGTACTTTGTGGGGAAAGTTGCCCCCACATACATCTGTGCTTTAGAATAACGAACTGCACCTTCATGTTCATTGCAGCATATTCACGAAGGCTAAGACATGGAAACAAGTGAAGTGTCTCAGCAGATGAATGGATGAAGGAGATGTGATATAGATACATAAAAATATATGCTGTTTGCAACAACATGGAAGGACTTTGAAGGCATTATGCTAAGTAAAATCAGAGAAAGACAAATACTGTACGATCTCACTTATATGCGGAATCTAAGAAAACCAAAATGGTCAAACTCACAAAAACAGATAAGGAAAAAGGTTGCCAGGAGTTGAGAGTGGGGAAATAGGGAGAGGTTGGAAAAGGGGTACAAACTTTCATCTATAAGATTAGTAAGGTCAGAGGAACCAATGTAAAACATGACGACTAAAGTTGGTAATACTGTGTTGTATAACTGAAATTTGCTAAGAGAGTAGAACTTAAACCTCTCTGCCATACATATATTTCAGTAACCTGTCTAAACCCCCACCCCCAAAGGAATCTGACAATACTGATACATCAGCTAGATAACAGGGAACTACTATAGATGTAAATGTGTGTATAGATATATGTGTATCTACATATATACATACATGTACACATATGTCCATATAGATATACACATACATACATATATATGAAGCAGAAAAATTCTTCCTAGGCATTTTCCTAGTTTAAGAAATGTTTCCCTTTAAAGGAAATGTTTGTAATTTGCCACTGAATCCAGACCCAGGAGCCAGATGACAGGCAGGGCTCCAACAAGATGGGGCATGAATTATGTCGCATTAATAATTCACACTCGCCATGGGAAAGTGGGTCTTAGTGAGAGTCCTATATTGTGAATGCAAACTGTTTTCTCCAAACAAACTAATATATTTACACAAGATATTTAGTGGGGCGTATTTATCTCCCCTCCCTGGGAGTTTACAATCCCCATATTATTCATTGAATTTCATCTGCATAATTTAACATGAACTCCCATGCTTGGCCCCAAAGCTAGGAGCATAAATGTAGGCAGAAATCCCAAGGGCTCTTAATGGCATCTCATGCTATAGTCGCTTTAGCGAGGTGACTATAGTCACCTCTCCAACAGACTGCTTGGTTTTTAGCAAGAAAAATAATCCATCTCTTCATTCTGAAGATGGAAATTGCTGGAAGAGTAGGCAAATAGAAGCACAGTGCTACTGTACCCGGCCTCGCAGAAGTTCGTATGCCGTCACCCCCAGTGACCACCAGTCCACAGCGAAGGAATAGCCTGCTTCTCTTCTGGAGTTGAACATCTCCGGTGCTGAAAACACAGGAAAGTTAGGCCTGTTTTGCTCTCAAGGTGATAACAAATCTATCTTCCCAACATGGCCCTCCAAAAGCGAAACACCAGGGTAAAGGGTAGAACACTTGTATGGATGTTTGTCATGCACTACGACACTGCTCAGAGCAGGCAGCAGTTCTAATTTTCTAGTCTCTCTCAGGAGCCTCATTCATCAGCCGACACGACATGCAGGCAAAGGCTTGGTGGACACATTCTTCTCTTCTCTAGAACATGTATCTCTGAAAAATGAGACCCTATCAGGCCTCAAACGTGTGGCTGGCCCCAAAGCCAAGACGGCTGAGATGTTATATGCTGTCTTGCTTTGGCAGGTTTGGGCCAAAGGGCTGAAATCTGTACTCCAGCTGCAAACAATACTCAGAAGTTGGTGCAATGAGCATCGGATTGGCCCTCCACCTCAGTCATCTTGAAGAAACAAGGGCAAGATTTCAGTTCTGCTGTTGGGGGTGAGGGAGTGAGGGAGGAGGGAATGCACACTCTGAGTGATAATAAGGTTTAATATCAGCTTCAGGGCATTTACACTTTGTTACAGAGTTTTCTGAATAGACTCCAATGGAAGGCAGGGCTACAGTCAGTTTTAAGGCCAATGTAACCATACCCCCACCACTGGGCATTCTCTAAGTACTTTGACACAAAGTGAACTTCTATTGTACATTCTACATGCTCTTTCAAGAATATCCCTAACTCCCCAGGGGTGGAGGAGAGAGAATGAAACACAAAGCAAGGGCAAGTATCTTGTCTGCTTGCTTACCACTATATCCCTACTGTCCATCATTGAACCCAGCATTCATAGTCATCCAAGAGATGTTCACTGAGTGAATGAAGGATGCTCAATCCATTAATCTAGCAACAAGTGCAATTGGAGCTGGAGCTGCACTGAGTCCAAAACTTGCCTTCATCACTTATTGTAACCTTGAACAAGTCCATTGGCTTAGCTTGAGAACCCTCACCAGCAAAATCAGAGTAATAAGATGCTCATCTCTCTAGAGGTGAGAAATTAAATGAGATAATACATGCCAAAATCTCAGCACAGCACTTGGCAGCTGGAAAGCACCCCCAAAATTAGGCACTCTTTTAGAGAGGCACACACCTGTCATAACAGGAATTTAACCTAGCGAAGAGCTACACACACTTGGCTCATCCTCTGGTACTGAGGTGCTGGCTCTGGACCAAAAATATTGCTGGGTCATGGGGCCTGAACACACAGGCTTGTCCTGCTCAGTGCACTCAGTTCTCAGTACAGTTCTATGGACAGCATCCAGTCAGAGGTGGGATGTTGACATCCCAATGCCCAGGCCTGAGCCTGACTGAAAGAGCCTGCTGTAGCAGGACCAAGTAGGCCTCACTCTCTGCTGGATTCATCTTTCATGCATCACTGCATGCTTTCCGTAAGTCACAGGTCCCTGAGCAACTGGAGAGATAGTGGCCCTGACCCCGTGGCACCCCATGGACTGGATGGAATCGACTAAACCCTGCTTCCCTATCTCAGTATATCACAGAAAGTCATCTCAGATGGGTCTCCAGGGTGACAGCAGCTCACTTAGAGAGGCTGCAGAGAACTCTGAGGGTAAACAAACCACTGTGCTAAGGAAATGCCCTTCAAAAATAGACATTACTCTATAAAAGCTGTGAATTCCATCATCTTGGATTGTCCTTGGAGTTTACAGGAGCATCTTTTTGTTTCTTTTCTACATGACTATTTTCCAGAATGAAGGCATCTGAATTTGAATTCATTCATTCAACAAATATTCATCCTGTGCTGGGTACTGAGGAATTTTGGTAAAATGTGAAGAAAAAACAACATACCAACATACTAAAACACAACAAATGAGCACCTTTCTGAGCTCTCACGGAGCTGAAAACCAGAGCAAAGAGGCCACAAGGGGCTCCTGTCAACTTGAGAGGCACCCCTGCTGAGAGGGTACAGAGAGAGGTGGAGCGGGAGTAGCTTCCTTCAAAGGCCATTGGGTGTTTTGTTTGGTTTTTAAAGTGTTTCAGCCTACTTTCAGAAAAGCAGATACAACATAAAAGAACAATTTACCAAGTCCTTATGAACAAATGGCCAGGGGACCATGACAGAGGTCACATGATATACTCTTGACCCCAACATTGTTCCTGTCATGTTCACAAACCAAGAAGTGACCACTGTCTACAGTTTATGTTAGCAGTTTGTTCCCTTTCTACATAGATTTACTGCCTACACATGCCTTTCTAAGCAGTTCTTCAGTTTTGCCTATATGTTATGTACATGTGCATACATACATATGGGGTGGGTAAAAGTAGGTGCACAGTTGTGAGTATATGAAACACAAGAGTTTATTCTTGTATTTCTGTTATGGTTATTAATTGTTGTATTATTTATTTGTATTACAACTGTAAGCCTACTTTTGTCCACCCTTGTATATATGACATGTATATGTATGTGTGTATAGTGTATGTGTAACATATGTGTGTGTATGTATCTTGTATATAGAAGATCCCACTTTTGGTTTTCTTTGCTGTATTGCTTTCATTGCTCAAGATTACAGGTAAGATTTACCCAAACTGCTGCCCATGGTTTCAATCTGCTCACATAGGGCTTGATGAACATACTGTAATTTACCTACCTATCTTGCTGTTGGTAGCTATTCGAACTGTTTTCCATTTGGAAGCCCTGTGAACAACCCTCTGTGAACATCCTGCACATCCATGCAAGGGGAACTGCTGGGCACAGAATGTGCATCCTCACATCCATTAGACAAATGCCAAACCATTTACCAAAGTGGTTGTACTCATGAACCAGATGACCAGCAACATATCCCACTTCCTTTAGCTCAACCTCCTTATCCACACTAAGCTTTTGATTTGTGTCAGTCTTGAGAGTGTGTGATTGTCTTTTGTTGAGGTTGAAACTAACATTCCCCTGATTACTACTAAACTTGGCCATATTTTCATGTGTTTATTAAATATTCGAATTTCCCTCACAGAGTTTTCAGATTTTTAAAACAAGTGGAGCATACATTCTGGTCAGGATGTAAAGAAAGAGCTCTGAAGATAATCTGTAACTTTAATGCAAAAAATAATTTATGGAATTTACAAAAATAATTCTACAAAAATTTCATCTACAAAAAAAGAGTGAGTAATGGTTTTCTGAAAAAGCATCAAGAGACTTGGATCCCATGTAGTAAACTATATCATAAGGCCACAGTGATTGAGGTTTGAAAGCCACAGCATATACATGCTAGTGCACAGATTAGTTATGATACTATATTTCAAATAAGCATGGAAAAGTTCTTAATTAATAAGTGATATTAACACAATTATTTAATAATCCAACAAAAATAAAGGTGGATCCTTACCTCGTATTGTCAGTCAAAATAACATATAGCTGGATTAAATAAAAAACTATAACAATAATAAAAATATTAGGTAACCATATTGAAAATCTGGAGATAAGAAGATATTGCTAAGAGCAGCATAAAAGATAGAAACTATAAAGTAAAAAAAGAAATGCTTTGATATTGTAAAAATAGTTTGTCAAAATGTCATAAGAACAATAGCAACTAGGACTTACGCCAAGATGGAGGTATAGGTGGATGTGCCGTGCCTTCTCACACAACCAAGTTTAGGGACAACTAAATATTAGCATCAGAAAACACAACCAGAACATGGAAAATTGAACTTTTCGGAAGTCCGTTAACAACAAATTCTTCAGCCCGACCGGTAAAGGGGGAAACTGGCATCTCGTGAGGGGTTGCACAGGAGGACTGGGTCAGACCCGGGCGCGGAATCCAGACGCGCGAATCCAGACGCACCCAGGATTGGACCTAGTGAGCGACCGAGCAACCCACCGGGTGAGCGACTGCTGAGGAGACAGTGGGGAGGCGGTGCTGCGTGTTGACTGCGGTTGCCTATCTGCGGGCGAGCGGACAGGCGAGGGAGTGGGCGGTTGGACCGGGGCCCGGCGGTCCCCGTGGCTTGCAGCAGTAGAGGGCGCCGCCATTTCCCCGCTCTGACCACACCCCCACATACAGCGTCACAACCCAGCGACCTGGGAGTCCAAGGCGCCGCTTCTCACATTTAAAGGGCCAGAACAGACCAAAAATGTCCCAGGAAGACCTCAAAGCCCCAGAGATAAATCTAAGCGACAAAGAAATAGCAAAACTCTCAGACGCACAGTTTAAAACACTGGTCATCAGGATCCTAACAGATCTGGTTGATTATAGCCACAAATTAGAGAAACATATGAAGGCTAAACTAAGGGAAATGAATGGAATTCCACAGGAAACCCATAGAGATGAAAAGGAAACTGGGACTCAAATCAATGGAGTGGACCAGAAGAAAGCAAATAATGGCCAAACAGAAAAGAGTCAAGGAGCAAGAATTCAAAGAAATGAGGAGAGTCTTAGGAACCTCCAGGACATCTATAAACGCTCCAATATCCGAATTATAGGGGTACCAGAAGGGGGAAAGACACAACCACCAGTGGAAAAACTATTTGAACAAATAATAAAAGAAAATTTCCCCAATCTGGCAAAGGAAATAGACTTCCAAGAAATCCAAGAAGCTCAGAGAGTACCAAAAAAGTTGGACTCAAGAAGAAACACACCAAGGCATATCATAATTACATTAGCCAAAATTAAAATGAAGGAGAGAATCCTAGAAGCAGCAAGAGCTAAGGGGACAATCACCTACAAAGGAGTCCCCATCAGACTGTCAGCAGATTTCTCAAAAGAGACCTTACAGGCAAGAAGGGGCTGGAAAGAAATATTCCAAGTCATGAAATCTAAAGACCTACAACCAAGATTGCTCTATCCAGCAAAACTTTCATTTAGAATGGAAGGACAGATCTTATCTGCTTCTCAGATAAGATCAAATTCAAGGAGTTCATCATCACCAAGCCCTTATTATATGAAATGTTAAAGGGACTTATCTAAGAAAAAGAAGTTAAAGAAACATGAACAGTGAAAGAACAACAAGCT